AGAGATGGAAGAGAGAGGAGGGGGGTTCCAAGAAGGCAGCCATTATAAGGTCCCCTTGGGATCCAGTAGGTGGATCATTGGGCATAAGGGAGATGGGTGGATGTGATGAAGAGGAACTAGGAGAGTGGATATAAGGATTGGCCAGGGCTGAACAGTGTCCTGAAGAGGACAGTGTGGTGGCCTAGTGGCCTGGTCAGGGCTGGCAATGCTGTATAGGTTCCTTCCTACATCCTTTGAGAGAGTGAATGAAGGACTTCCTCCATGTTCATGTTTGGTTATAGCTTGAAGAGACTGAGGGTAAACGTGAAAACCTCAGTAAGGATAACAAGTTTCTGGCCAAAGATTTGAACCCTGAATCTCCCAGATTTGAAGCAAGAGTGTTAACCCCTCAAGTAGAACATTTTGTTATATTTGAAGTAATATAATGTGATATAAGTTTTAGAGTTTGTATTAAATTTGGTTGTGATTTTTCCAGCATTGTCCTGCAGCTTTTAATCGCAAGGACAAGCTTGTGAGGCATTTGTTGATCCATCAGTCAGTAAAGAAGTTCAAGTGTCCATTCCGCTCATATTTGGGTTGTCCCAGGGAATTCAATAGACAGGGTAAGCACGTTAACGATGTTATCTCTAGTTTTGTGGTAACTCAATACCTTGCTAAGCCTTGTAAAGCATTTTAACATGAAGTACAGTTGTCTTTGTCATGTATCCTTGTTTCAAATCAAAATGACATAATAGTGACCCAAGTGAATGTTTATATTGTGTTATTTTCATCACTTTCTTTATTGTTTAATTTTGTAATATTGTACATCACCTTAAAATGTTGTACAGGCTGAAGCACTCCTTTTTATGTATGCTGTCTACTCAGATGATAGACATGCAAATTTAGATGAAGAAATGGATGATACAATTTTGATGAGTGCCAACATAGACATTGGCTAGGTCAGATTATAAGTAGCAGCCTCTGAACTTTACCATCAGTGCTTTTCCCATGAGAAATGTTGGTGTGGTGAGGTTAATGTAGAATTAGTAGTCACAGTAATGTTGTGGAACAAAGTAGTTATGACCTAATTTATCATACTGTTGTGTTATTTACCTGGAAAGCCTGGGGAACAGTAAAAACATGTTGGGTCAGATTTTGAATTCAGTTCAGGGTTTTAAAAATGTAAGCTAGATTTGTTTAAAAATCTGTACTCCTCCCCCAATATTGTCAGAGTGATTAAGTCAAGAAGAATGAGATGGGCTGGGCATGTAGCGTGCATGGATGGGACAAGAGGTGTGCACCGGGTATTGGTTGGGAAGCCTGAGGGGAAGAGACCACTGGGTAGACCTAGACATAGATGGGAGGATAATGTCAGGCAGGATCTATGGGAGATAGGAGTTGAAGGAGACTGGATTTTGTTGGCCCAGGTCAGGGTCCGGTGGAGGGCTTTGGTTAATTCGGTGATGAACCTTTGGGTTCGGTAAGCCATCTAGTTAGTTAGTTAAGCTAGATGTGTTACCGAGAAGCTAAGTCATTGTTACAGCTACATGGGATGATCAGTTAATAAAAATAATATCCTTTTGTATTATGGTCTTTGGATTATGATGTAGTATAGTCTTGTATGTGGTTGTCAGCATTTTGGAGAAACTTATTGTCTTCATCTACAGGGTGCAGGACTTAAATACAGTCCAGATTTTCACCACTGTGATAACCTCACATCTCACGCATAACTGTCATTGCAGATAAACTGAAGCTTCACATACTGACGCATAGTTCAGTGCGTCCATCCCTACAGTGCAGGATATGCAACAAGACATTCCAACGTCAGGCACAGCTACGTCAACATGACAGAACACACCACCAAGGAGCACCTCACACATGCCATAATTGTGGCATTGTATGTATAATAATTTGTGTCTTTAGCAGTTTAGACTTTTTCTAGTATTTACTCATTCTCACTGGGAAAATTCATTGCAGTAAATGCCATCTGTTACGGTGTTATAAAATCAGAAGAAAATTGGCTCCAGAAAAAGTGCCCTTTATACAGTATATTTACATTCCTGGAATATGTTTTTCCTGTGATTCACATGATCTTTTTTCAGTCCCATTAAGATTCCTACCATTTCAGGGGTTTCTGCTTTCTCAAAGTATGTGTTATGTTTGAAGTTTCTGGGTTTTATACTTTTTTATGACTGGTCAGTTTTTCAATTTAGCCATTAACCACTCTGATGAGTTAGTTGCCATATTGCATGCATCATTTTAGCTTGTGATGTGTGATTGCTTTCATTTTAGCTGTCTATATCTGGTGTGTGCACTGCAGTTGTTTTTTAAAGTTTTTATGCTTGATAAGGCATGATGGCAACACAGAAAGAAAGAAAAGCCATTTTCTGAGAAGAGAAACTTAACATGGTATGGGGCATTCACAGACACATAGAGACTTGTATTTTATTGGTGAAATGAATAGGGTTATCATTTTGAGCTCTAAATATGATAGCCAAAACCATCATGTCATTGAAGAAAATGCAATTCAGTGTGGAAGGTCCTAATTATTTTTTAAAGAAGTAAGTATATTGCTTATTCTGTGCAAAAACTTTTATAGGGTTTGACATGTCTCATAATTAAATACAGATTCCTGATATCACAAGATACATTAAGGCAAGCTTTATCAGCTTTTTTCTTTCCTCTTCTTTTCTTCTAGGGCTTTAAGAAGAAGATGTCACTAGCAGCACATGAATGTGACCATTCGCAGGGACATGTGGATGAAACTGAAGTTATACAGGAAAGTAGCGTGCAACAGTACCAAGTCCGATCGCGGCTACAACAGGTGGCAAGGAGAGGTATCCGAAAGGCCAAACTGAGAGGGCGGAATAAACGAGACCAACAGTCGGAGGAGACCAACAAGACAGGGGACAATGTTCCTACCATTGAGATCATTGTGATGCCTGTTCCAGTCTCATTAGAACAGCATGCTGCAAGTCATAGCAACAGCAGTGCTGATGTCAGTGGGAGTGGGAGGGGGAGCATGTATCATTTTTAAGATGGAGACATTGTTCAGTACAAGAGAAGATGTAACCCTGGGTCGGTGCAACCAGCAGCAGGACCAGGAAGTTCCTGTGGCTTCCACTACAATTTGATACAGGTAGTGTTATTTGGAGATGCTTATATTTTCACACTTTAGTGGTGGTGTTACCAACTTTATTTGTGTGATACTGGTCATTTCACCAACCTGAATGATATTTTAGTCCATATTGTGTGGCTGTTACAAGTTAAAGCTGTCTGTGTCTCCTTGAATATTGTTTCTGCTATAAAACCAATGTAGAGGTTTCCCTTAATGCCCACCACTTCAATTCTGGCACTGATACCAACATAAGGTAGGTATTTGTAATTTTTACCATAAACAAGCAATGTTAATATTAATGTTGCCTATAGTATCTTAGTAATATATTGGTACCAGTGCTATTGTGATTGGATGCAGCATTCAGCGTGACATGTGAAGATGGATCATAAAATTTCTGAACTGGTTTTGTTATACATTGTTATTGTTTTTGTTACAATTGGGTAAGATTATGTCTTTGTGAAACTGGGCCTTTGATGGGCCCTTTGTTCATCCTGCAGATGAAAGATGTTTGAATATAGAGCAGCAGTTGAATGATACTGATGGGAAAACTGAAGGACTCTGAGAAAACGTGTCCCAGTGCCAGTCAGTTTGTCCACAAATCCCACATGGGCTGACCTGAGTGTGAACCCAGGCCTCCAGAGTGAGAAGCTGGCAACTAACCACCTTAGCTATGGCGCAAGCTTTATTGTGCATTTCGTAAGGGACATGTTGACAACAGTTTCCAACTTCACTCCAGTTGGAAGGAAGTCATTGCTGTGTATAATATGTGAGCAGACTACTATTTTGAATACTCTTGATTATCCAGGCTATGAAGGGGAGAAGACATATAATTTAAAACCCTTTGTTTTGGTGCATTCACAGAACTTCACAAATTTATTTGCAGTTCTTTTTATACTGACACTTACTTTGAGAAACAGTTTGTAATGGTTGTTTGTTTTTGTGAACTATTTCTATTCCTTCTCACAGCAGTACTAATTTTCCTGGCAGCTGTAATACCACTGTATTCAAACCCTCTCTGACCCATGTAGTCAAGAAAGTGTCAACATATTGTATCACCTGGCTGTGAATGACATACTCTGCTTTTTCTTTCTTCTTCATTATTATCCTCCCTTCATCTTTCTATTTGTTTCACAGCAACATTGATAATGTTGCTGAAGTCCAGTTTACACGCATCATTTTGTAGCCATTATTCCATGTTTTGTTTGTGGACATTTTTTAAACTTGTCATAGCACACACCATGTCAAGAATTTTGGACTTGCTGGTTTATTAATTAGGAAAATCTTGCAAATTATCTTCTAGATCTGGAACAAGTTTCCTCCACAATCATCCCAGCATTAAAAGATTTACAGACGGCCATGCCTGAGATACACTGCGTACAGCACCATACTTGTTTCCATAATGCCATTATGTTGTCATTTGCATCAGTAAGAGTTCTGAGAAGGTCAGCCTGGTAGCATTGTTTCATGGATGTCATCACTGAGTCCCTGTCCAAATAATCTTTGGCTGTTTTTGTTGCCAATTCTTTGCTCTCAACTTTTGCAATTAACTCCAGCTTTTGTTTTACTCTCAGTACCTTTCTTTATGTTTCTGGGCTTTTTTACTTAGAATCCACAAATATTAACCATCACCTTTACCATACACACGATACAACATAACAGAATTGACTGTAAGATGCTAATGTTTGAAAATCACCAACAGCTGTGGCATCTCCTCTCAATGCAGAAAAATGTTTGAAATTTTAGTTTACTTGTGTCCACATTTGCATAAAAAATATGTTATGTGTAGATAATCCTTAGACTGTATAATCTGCACATAGATAATTGGGAGTTTACTGTACATTTATTCATGATGATCTGTACACTGTAAAATGGGTGACATTACTGAAAGTATGAAAACTTAATGTTTTGTTTGAAACCTGGAAAGAATGCAGTGGAAACCTGTGTTTGGAGAAGAAGTCCAGTCACGCTGGATCATTTGAGTGGTTTTCTTAATTTAAAAAGGGCAGAAGTTTTATAGAAGATGATTTGTATTGTTGCCATCAATCATCACACACAAACAGTGTTTGTGTTTGTGACAAAAATCACACTGGCAAACCCAGTGTGCTTCATAATGGAATTTTTGATGAAACGCAACATTCCATTGGTTTCTCACCCACATTATATGCCAGATTTAGCATATAATGACCTTTTTCTGTTCAACAGATTAATGAGTGTCCAGAAATTATCAAAATTTGAATAACATCTAAAAACAGTATAATTTAAAGTGTGCTTCAGTACATGGTAGGACCCTTAGAATCAAAGATACTGAAGTCTTTTTGGGTGATCAGCCATGTCAGTATGGAGTGATTACCAGTGTTTCTGAGAATATTTTTGCTATTTTTTCTCCCATAATCGGGATGAATGTCATATAGTAAATGTTATTATTATTTAAAACCCTTTGTTTTGGTGCATTCACAGAACTTCACAAATTTATTTGCAGTTCTTTTTATACTGACACTTACTTTGAGAAACAGTTTGTAATGGTTGTTTGTTTTTGTGAACTATTTCTATTCCTTCTCACAGCAGTACTAATTTTCCTGGCAGCTGTAATACCACTGTATTCAAACCCTCTCTGACCCATGTAGTCAAGAAAGTGTCAACATATTGTATCACCTGGCTGTGAATGACATACTCTGCTTTTTCTTTCTTCTTCATTATTATCCTCCCTTCATCTTTCTATTTGTTTCACAGCAACATTGATAATGTTGCTGAAGTCCAGTTTACACGCATCATTTTGTAGCCATTATTCCATGTTTTGTTTGTGGACATTTTTTAAACTTGTCATAGCACACACCATGTCAAGAATTTTGGACTTGCTGGTTTATTAATTAGGAAAATCTTGCAAATTATCTTCTAGATCTGGAACAAGTTTCCTCCACAATCATCCCAGCATTAAAAGATTTACAGACGGCCATGCCTGAGATACACTGCGTACAGCACCATACTTGTTTCCATAATGCCATTATGTTGTCATTTGCATCAGTAAGAGTTCTGAGAAGGTCAGCCTGGTAGCATTGTTTCATGGATGTCATCACTGAGTCCCTGTCCAAATAATCTTTGGCTGTTTTTGTTGCCAATTCTTTGCTCTCAACTTTTGCAATTAACTCCAGCTTTTGTTTTACTCTCAGTACCTTTCTTTATGTTTCTGGGCTTTTTTACTTAGAATCCACAAATATTAACCATCACCTTTACCATACACACGATACAACATAACAGAATTGACTGTAAGATGCTAATGTTTGAAAATCACCAACAGCTGTGGCATCTCCTCTCAATGCAGAAAAATGTTTGAAATTTTAGTTTACTTGTGTCCACATTTGCATAAAAAATATGTTATGTGTAGATAATCCTTAGACTGTATAATCTGCACATAGATAATTGGGAGTTTACTGTACATTTATTCATGATGATCTGTACACTGTAAAATGGGTGACATTACTGAAAGTATGAAAACTTAATGTTTTGTTTGAAACCTGGAAAGAATGCAGTGGAAACCTGTGTTTGGAGAAGAAGTCCAGTCACGCTGGATCATTTGAGTGGTTTTCTTAATTTAAAAAGGGCAGAAGTTTTATAGAAGATGATTTGTATTGTTGCCATCAATCATCACACACAAACAGTGTTTGTGTTTGTGACAAAAATCACACTGGCAAACCCAGTGTGCTTCATAATGGAATTTTTGATGAAACGCAACATTCCATTGGTTTCTCACCCACATTATATGCCAGATTTAGCATATAATGACCTTTTTCTGTTCAACAGATTAATGAGTGTCCAGAAATTATCAAAATTTGAATAACATCTAAAAACAGTATAATTTAAAGTGTGCTTCAGTACATGGTAGGACCCTTAGAATCAAAGATACTGAAGTCTTTTTGGGTGATCAGCCATGTCAGTATGGAGTGATTACCAGTGTTTCTGAGAATATTTTTGCTATTTTTTCTCCCATAATCGGGATGAATGTCATATAGTAAATGTTATTATTGACACTAATATATATATATATATATATATTAGTTATAAGGATAAAATGAAGATCTGAACAAAAGTGAGTATTAGTCTCCTCTGAAATGGGGACTTGTTCCATAGTGACTGGGCTTTCACCCTAGAAGACTTCATTTAGTCACTATGAATGCTTTGAAACTTATAAAATAATATCAGTCCCAAACTTTTATAATCTGCCCTTGTATGTTTCTATTACATTATGATAGATAATATTGGTAGAGAAGTACATTTTACTGCTGAATCGGCAGGCAAAATACTCATTTGTTGGCATTATTGGTTTTTGGGCTTATCTGATTCTTTTAGCTGTTGTCTAAACACATAAGGAAAATCACATTATCCATTTGTAGTACTCACTGAGTTCCCATATTATAATGAATTCTTCTCAGGCTACCAGCCATGTCAGGTGGTTAAATGGAGAAAACACCAACATTTTGAGAACCATCTTTATCCTCATCCTCAGGGTACTGAAGTTAAGTTTCCATGCTGTAAAGATAGCTGTTGTGCTTTTTGTGGGATGGGCATGGAGTAGCATTATAACTCTCACAGCATGTATAAGTTTAATGTCATTTTGAGTTATCAGTTATGTTCCATTTAGATATAATATGTTGCACCTCTTCTCTATTTGCATATGTGAAATTCTTGGTTTTTGAGGCTAGGTTACAGATTTAATTTTTATAAAGAGTCCTCTCTTTTTGCTATAGTTGCTACAATTTTTTAATAAAGAGTGTTGGGTCACCACCTCTTTTGTATCTGAATATGGTCTGCTACATTGTGTAGAAGTAGGCTGTATTGCTGTTGTTTTGAGGTCCTTACTGCCATCACATTCAAGGTGATAGCAGGGGCCATTGGGTAGTCACTTTGCATTGAGGAAAATGTAATTTCTTTCTGGGGCATCATTTTTGATCTCGGGATTACAAACATTTGGAGCATTTCAAGATTTTGATAAAATGCTTGTGTAAAAATATTACATGTGTATCATATTCAAGGATTTAAAGTGCTACATATGGGGATACAGAAGACACACCAGTAGATTTGGTAACGTTGATTGTGAGCTGTGTCAACCATTGGGCAAGTAAGAAACTTGACCTTCAGACTTTCTCTTTTCTTTTAGCAGGTAGTAAATAACAGGAGCTTATTGTCAGGCACTGCACAACAGCATTCACAGCAGATTTTCATTGCTGTTAGGGTCAACAATAACTATTTTGTCAGTTTATTGGGTATCTGAACTCCACTTAGCTCTTGTGTGGTTTGTTTTATGCAATATGATGGCATAGCAGATGTTCACCAATCAAAAACATTCTTTGTGCCATATTTTTGCAGTAGTTGGAATAAATCTGAGATTTTGACCTTTACTATGTGCAGTTTCAGTTGCCTCAATGGTAAGATGTTAAGATTAATGATGTGACATATACTGCTGCTGGAAATAAATGAATACAACTTGAGGTTTTACTGTCTGAGAAACTGAAGATTTTACGAGAAACAGTACAAATAGGGAATCACATTGAGACCAGGAAGTTTTAAGTGAATGAAATTGGATCTACTACAAAAAGCAGTTACTGATGGTCTTTTCATAAGCAAAAAGGAAAATTTCCAGTGGTATCACTGAAGTTTTCTTTATATTTAAGTGAGAAGTGGCAGTTTAGTCATGCAGTATTGTGTGAATTATACCGATTGAAGACACTAGAAATTGCAAAAGAAATTGGAATGAATCCAGAGCTTTGATGCAACACAAACTTGGTTGCAGAAATTCTTTAACAATTGAAACACTTTCTGTGCAAGACAGCAAGTATTTTACAAATGCTTCCAAATGAATATGAAGAAAAAACTTTGATATTTCAAAAGTACTGGTATTGTACTTTGGGGCACTGACAATGACAAAATAATTTCAGATGACAGTGATAGCAGCAGTCAGGCACGTCAGTAATTGTAAGTATGGAATCATATTTTTCATATTGTTGCAGTTGTATTGGAAGTAGCACGTGCTTGTGTAGATTTCTAGAGTAGGACAAGCCACATTACTTTTCTGTGATTGTTTTTGGTCTTTAGAAGTATCTTTATTGAAGACTATGTTTCTTAAACATTCTATGAAAGAATGGTGTGTGTCATATTCTGGGGCACATAGTATTTGGATAAATATTATGTGTGTGTGTGTGTATGTGTGCACTCATGTGTATGCATGTAGAGGCCTGTAAATATGAAGGTAATTCAAAAAGTGCAATTTTTTTCTACTGCCACAGGAGCAACAGTTGTCAGCATTGACATTTGTGAGGTGACATATTGAAGCAGTGCTTGAGGTGACCTTGGACTCAGTGTATCAGTTGCATTCAGACTCTGAACATGGCTGCATCACTTTTGATTTGTACCAATAAAGAAAAAAGGGCTGTGTTTTATTTTTTTATGAGTGGAGGGTGTGAAAGGAGATGGAATTCACAGTTATTTATCTGCTGAATACTGGGATAACATGTTACGTCAGCAGAATGTGTGTAAGCTGATTGAAATGTTTAAGAATGGCTGGACAAGTGAGACTGATTAAGAGCACTTAGGCTGCTTGTGTACATCAACCAGTGATGATAAACAGCAACAGGCCAGAGGCATGATACTTAGCAACAGAACAGCAGTAATAAAAGGACATTGCAACACAATAAGATATTAATCATGGTTCAGCCCATATAGTTGCATATTACACCCTTGGATATCTCAATGTTTGTGAAAGGTGGGTGCCAAAAGTTTTGATAGAACAGCACTAGTGCAATTATTTGGATGTCAGTTGTTATATTCAGAGCAATATCATAATGAAGGTGAACATTTTTTTAATTGCATCATCACTGGGGATGAAACTTGGGTCCACTATTACAACCCAGAAAGTAAACACCAGAGTATGCAGTGGAAGCACCCAGCATATCCTTTATCAAAGAGATTTTGAAAACCAGTCATCAGTTGGAAAGGTTATGTTTACAGTGTTCTGGAATTCCCAAGTTTATGTCCTCAAACTTTATCAAGAAAGTGAACCATAGTAGCAAGTGTAAGATATTGTGACTTGCTGCACAATAAACTGAATCCAGTAATTCACTAAACATGGTGAGGAAGATTGTTGCAGGATGTTTTGTTGTATGACAATGCCCACACTCATTCTGTTACCCTTACCAAGGAAACCCTCCAGGAACTGAAATTTGAAGCTCTCAGCCACCCACCATACAGTACATACTTGCTGCTTCATCTGTTTTGACCTTTGAAAGAGTCTTCAGGATTATGCATTTGATGTCAAATTTAAGGAAGTGGTGCAAGACTGGCTACACACTCAACCAAAGATAGTATAATACAACTTGTGGACTGCTGGACCAAGTGTACTGAGAAGCAGGATGATTATATATAACTGTGATAAAGCTGTAAACATTCAGAACAAATAAATCATAAAGAAAGAGAATAATTGAGAATAATTTTTGAATCACCCTTCTGTTTGTTTACTGCCTTACGGTGGTTGATGGATCAGTATTCATTTAATCCAGTTTTTAAAAAGAAGATAAATAAGTCTTTCTATTTAAATGTGAATGCAGTCCTTATGATACATTTGTCAAATAATTATATACATTTTTTAATCATACACATTGATTGTGGGTTTTAAACAGCATAGCCTTGGAGACAGGAACAGTATATAAGTTCAGTTGCATTCTGTCAAGCTACAATAGTTCCATGAATATTCAAAGAGTTTGTTGAAGTCTCTATATCTCTGATGCCCAAACAAAGCTTTAACCTACTTTGGCCCTTTATACTAAAATGAATATATGTTTAATTAGATAAACTATGCTGTACTGTTAGAAGAGTCAGACACTGTTTTACTGACTGCCATAACATTTCAATTTCTATCACTGTTTTCCCACATGGTATTAAACATATCAGGAATGATATCTTCAGTAATCTCTGTCTTTAGCTTTGGCTTCCTCTTTAACAAGTTGCTTCCGCTCCAAGTGCCATTCACATGGGGCATTGTAGTCTCAACAGCTTTGCCTGTTTGAACTGGTTGGTACTGCATTTCAGTTTCTTCTCTCTATAGTGGGAATCAATGGGGCTTGGTTAACAGGCTGGAAGATCTTGATTTTGCCGACGACCTGTGTCTTTTGTCTGAAGCACACGGCGATATGCAAACGAAGCTCGAAGACTTGACAGAGAAGGTGAAGAATGTAGGACTCGTAATCAACTCGAAGAAGACAATGGCCCTAAGGATTAACACCACCAACACGGACCCATTCACCCTCAGCGGCGAGGCTATCGAGGATGTGGATAGCTTTACTTACCTGGGCAGTGTGGTTGCTAAAAATGGAGGAGCTGCACAGGACGTCTCGCAACGCATTCGAAAAGCGAACGGCGCCTTTGTGCGGTTTTATCTGTTATGGAAGAGCAACAGAATATCCACCAGGACCAAACTCTGCATCTTTTGTAGTAATGTCAAGTCAGTGCTGTTATATGGATCTGAGACATGGAAAGTAACAAAAACGATCACCTCCAAGCTGCAGGCATTCGTCAACCGCTGTTTGCGAAGAATCCTAAACATCCATTGGCCAGAAGTGATTCCAACCAAGAACTCTGGCCAAGGACAGGAATCTGAGGTATCCATGCAGATCAAGTGGCAGAAATGGAAGTGGATCGGGCATACACTGAGGAAGGGGAATGAAGCCATTGAGAGAGAGGTCTTGGACTGGAATCTGCAGGGGAGAAGGAAGAGAGGGAGACCCAGACAGACGTGGTGAAGATCTGTCCACACTGAGGCACTGGAAGAAGGAAAGAGCTGGAGTGAAATAAAGAGGATGGCCATCAGCAGGACCAGGTGGCAGTGCTTTGTTGATGCCCTGTGTTCCATGAGGGACAACAGGAGTTGATGGTGATGATGATGATAGTGGCAGTCAGGTTGAGGTTCAGGCTATATAAGCATGGATTTTGTTTCTATGCAACTGCTTTTCAAAGTATAGAAATTGTGGGAGATAGCATTCATACTTCTTATAAATTATCCTCAGGTCCATTGTGATCTAAATGATCACAGTATGTTCTAGATATTCTAGACTTCTTTTGAGACCAAATTTTGGACAAATGAAGACAGTATTTTTTAATGTGACTATTTTTTTAAAAATTTTAAGGTGATATTTGTTTTAATAAAAGGCAATATGCAACTTCGGCAGTGAATTACTTTTTCATTTAACTGAACTCTTGTTTGTGAAAGTGGAAAAGAATTTAGTACTTTTATGTAATTCTAGGTCCTCATAAATCTATGGTGCACATGTGTGTGTGTCAACTGATATGGAATGAGCTACCAATTATAAGTGTCATTGACTCACATATGAGGTAGGGGTCATTTATAGGGTTTCTTTGAACAAAATCAAAACATGTTAGTTCAACTGCTATTTGGTGCATTATGTCTCAAATAAAACTGCTAAAAATATGTTGGCTCCTATACTTAGTCAAAGTAGTAGTGAATGTGTCAAAAAGAAGTCCATTGTTATAAAGTGAGGCCAGGCAGTTCACATTTGTCAGTTCATTTACTAAGGAACTGAGTACTCTTTAACAAATGTTGTGCCTCATATTAAATACAGATCATTCATAATGGGAAAGAAACAAGTGCTAGGATAAGAACTGTTGATGTCCTAAAGAATTCTGCATTCATATTGTGAATTATTTTCCTACCCATACCTTTCCAAATTCTAATTCTTTAAGCAATCATGTTGGAACTTAATTTTCCCATCCATCTTCTATCCACTCGATTAAGCGTAGGGTTGATTTTACTTTTACCTTTGTGTAGTGTATTCAGTTCATTTTAAGTTTTTGTTAAACTACACAGGTTAGGATATAAAGAATATTCTTTTCCCTATTTAATTGGTATGTGAAACAAATCCTGTTATCTGCTCTGTCATGTTAAAAGAAGTTCAAAGGTAACAGAACTATGGTTGAGGCCATGCAAGGACAGATGGATTCTCATTTCCAGAATTTGGATATCAGTTAAAAAAATGAATATTTTTTTACAGTTCTGAGAAAGTGCCTAATTTCTTGTGAGAAATATATACAATAAAACCCCTCAAGTTGGACACCCCTCTATATTGGGCACTTTTAATTGGAACTGGCAAATATCCTATAATTTTACATGTCCACAATGCCCTATATCTTGGACACCCCTTTGTCCTGGAATTTGAACACCCCTTTTGTTGTATGTTGGACAGGTTCATGCACTTAGCTTCAAAGCTTTTACATATTTTGTTATTTTGAATTTCTGACCGTTGAATGCCTCCTCTCTGGAGGATTATCTTATGGACATTGAACCCATCATTGGAATGCATTGCAAGTGTTTAACTATTCTTTTGCTGAACCCTTTACTGGACTACAGTATTGCAGAAGACACAGTTTTAACTCCATCAGTACTGTGCTTGCATTTGAGTTCAGACTGTGTTAACAGAATTGGAATTTTTCTTTTTGCGATGGGGAAGCGAAAATTGATGGAATAAACTTTAGAAAATGTCATCTTTGCATTCTATACTCCAGTGGGAACATACAGATCAGCCTATGATGGGGAAATTGAAGCCATCTGTGTAGCCCTAAACAAACTGATCTGCCACCAGGTAAAGTTCAAGAATGTAGTTATCCTGTGCGACTCAAAAGCAGATATAGAATCTGTAAGCTCCACAGATATTAAATCAACACAAATGCAAGACTGTCAAAATGCAATACAACATCAAAAACCCAGTAATAAATGCAACATATATGGCAATGAGCAGGCTGACATTTTGGCTAAAAAAAGTGCTCAGATAACCCAAATTAAAAATTAAATCCGTGGCGTAACAGCTCCAGAGAGCCATAGCCGACTAGCTGACTGCTGGCCTCACGTTCACATGCCTAAGCAGAGGTGAACGATCATCCAACCAGATGTAGGGTGACGTGTAGTCAGCATGACGAACCCCCAGCCATTGCTAGCTTTCCAGACCGGATTACGCTACTCCTACCATACAGCTAAAATATACATCAAGAGAGTTATTCAAGATACCCACACCCTTGAAATCTAAAGGAAATCACATGGGAAACCCTGGCAAAGGGATATCCTTATGATACCAGACAGGCCAAGAAAAGAAGCAGTTGCGAAGTTCCGCTCAAGAACTGGACACGACTGCCTAGCGTATCACCTTCACCGCTTTGGCATTCTACCAGACCCGTCGTGTAATTTGTGTGGCCTCCAAGAAGATATGAATAGGGATCATCTTCAGCTCTGTCCAAAACGACAGAATGTGATAGATACTGGGAAGCGAGGAACCCTATGAGTCAATAATTTATTTAATTTTATCTATATTTGTTTACAATTTGAGTCATTATTATGTTATTATTATGTTTCATCTCTTTGTCTTATTTTGTAGATTTTAAAAATTCTGTCTAGAGGTAGTATTTAGTCTTTCCCTCTATCTTGGACACCTCTGTAAGTTGGACACATTTTCGTGGAACCCCAAGTGTCCAACTTAAAGAGGTTTTACTGTATAAAATGTTTGTTAGAAAACCTGATGGGAAGAGATCGCTTGTGAGAGAGTTATAGATTGGAGCATAAGAAGTTAGGTTTGATTATGTACATTGGATTCATTTGGCTCAGGACTGGGTCTAGTTGTTGACTCTTGTGATTGCTGAATTTAACTTTTTGTTTCCATAAAAGGCAAGGAATTTTTTGTAAAGAATTCTGTGGCAGACATATTCAATCATGGCCATACTTTCTGGCCTTTTCTTCTTACACCAGCTGAAATAATTCCTTTATGCATGAAGTGAAGCTTTTGTGGCAACTGAAGTTGATGAAATACCATCAGGCCAGTTCCCGTCAGCTAGCACGCAACAAAGGAACAGACTGGTTACCCAGCAACCCTGAGGATGAGAACAGAGGTGGTTCTCAAATCATTGGCAGAAGATTTAGTTCAGCCACCTGACATGGCATGTAGTCCAATTCCCTTATAAATTTCAGTCGTGCATGAACCAGATTTGATCACTTCTACTAGACATTATGGCATAGTGGTTAACATTCCCGCTATGAATTCAGGAAGTTTCTTGTCTTTGGTGGAAACTGCCTATTCTGACTGGGGCTACTTGTGATTTCTTAGTCTCTCCAGGAATTTTGTGAAATAGTACAGCTGTTTCCTTCCATATTTTTGTAATTCATCATTCATGCAATTTTGAAAATGTATTCTTTGTGATTTTGCATTGGTCTTATATTAAAATACAGATGTGTGATGCAGATCTGCTAGTAACAGAGATGAACTCTGGTTATAGGCTTGAATATTTTCCCTTGTATTTTGTCAAATGTTAACTGTATTGAAAGTATTTTAAAGCTTTTTGTAAGTAAATGTTGTGGAGCTTATTTAACTCTATGGTATGTATAAATTTTTATTGCTCAGTGATCTTTGTCTTAAAAATTTGATGATAATTGGGTTTTTGCTTCATAAAGTTGATACAGACAGAAATAATATTGTGTGTACAACCAAATTTCTTAAAAATGTGTTTGGAAGCTATAAGTTCTGGGAAGATTAGCCACTTAAATTCAGAACAGAGGTTTAAAATTTTGGAGACTGTCTCTGTCTCCAAAATGTTGGAACTTTGGTTCATATGTAAGTAACTAATGATGCAGAAAGATTTTATTGCTTTTTACCAAATGAAGGCTTCAAGTATTGTGCAGTGTTATTTATTCAATAGACAGGCAGTTGTTTAAGACACTTGTGAAACTTGATGAGATAAACATTTTATGTTATGCAAGATATACAGATATTTAGAAAAAAATAATTGTGCCCTGTATTATATATATTTTTTTTGTGCAAATTGCTGATATCCAATACATCACTGGGTCACAAAACTTTCTTCTCAGAATATGATAATGAGGTTAAACACATCGAAAGCATTGGATTAGTCCTCTTTAGTGAACTAAAAGTGTAACACCATCACGTGGAGTGTGAACTAAGTTCAGTACTTATTTCACAGAGGTTCTCATGTTGTCTTTTGTATTGGTGAACTTACTAAACATTGCCATGTATTATGTTGTTGATGGTTCATAACCCCCTCTTCCACTCAGCAACAGCTTGTGAAATGTTTTCTGGCACTGCCGCATACAGCTCGGAGTGTTCCTTAATCATCTGTGATTGTTATTATTTATAGAATTTTTATTATTTGTAATTTTGAAGTTACTATCCTGAATCTTGCCTTGTTGAATAATATCTGTGATAATTTACATATTATATGAGATTGATCTGTGTTGTGGGTTCTTATTTGCATATAATGACCTTTTCCCTTTAGATATGTGTTTCTTCACATTTTCTGTTGTCTGGTCCACAAGTGGGTGCTGAGGGGAATATTTTGACCTAGGATAATGAAAGTAACAGAAGATTGGAGAAAATTGCTTTAAAAGATGTTGTATTTTGAACTCATCACCAGGGTGATCATATAAAAGAAAATGGAATAGCCAGATCATATAGCATACATATGTGGGAGAAATGAGAAATGCATATTAAAATTTTATTTGGGAAACTTGAAGAAAGGTCACTTGTGAGACCTAGGCATAGATGAGAGTATGATATTAATATGAATCATAAAAATATATTGTGAAGAAAGAGTTTAATGGCAGGCTATTATGAACACATGAAGAAAGGTCACTTGTGAGACCTAGGCATAGATGAGAGTATGATATTAATATGAATCATAAAAATATATTGTGAAGAAAGAGTTTAATGGCAGGCTATTGTGAACACAT